TTATATATGAATATGTTTGCATATTTTAAAGAATTCTCTAAAAACAATAATAGAAATGACAAATTTTCGAAAATTAACACTTTAATTTTAATAACAAATTCCTATTGCTACAAATTTCATTTCTTCATGAAATAATTATAACAATAAATATAATATTTCTATTTCTGTTATCAAAATTTCTGTCACTATTCAATGATCAGCTGTGTACAATTATTAATTTATCGGCTTCCTCTTTCAGTAATTATTTTCATATTCTTCATTTACAATTTAAACTTAATGACATCATAAATTATTCTTTTCTTTATGTGCTTCAAATGTTTAATAGAACTTGAAAATTGTAATAAAATTAAAAATTTTTGCCATTATTTTTTTTCTTAAATTAAATTGTAAAAATTGGATGGATTGTAATGCATAGACAATTTATCCCAACGAGCAATAATAAATTAAACTGATAAACAAAGCTATTCGTCTAATTCTGAATTTAAAATATAAATTATGGCTTAAAATAAGGGAATTTCGTCTTCTTTATCGCTAACTTTTCCACTGCACAAACTATAAATAAACGTAGAAAGAATGCGTTAGCGAAGTCTTAAAAAGTCTTCCGAATGAGTGAATGCTTCAGTCAATCAATATAATTGAAATTAATCAAAATGTCTTTTAAGCAAGCAATATTTAAGCATTCAATATATACTTCATGTTTCAGATGTAAAATGCATATTTTTTGCAAATTTGATTAACTGATCAACACTAACGAGCAATGAAATATTGCAGTAGAAGGCAGAAATAAAATGAAAATTATAAGAATAAAATTGATAAAAATATGACGAATTTGAACCAAATTTAAAAAAAAAAAATAGGAGAAATTTTGAATTCAATAGCTCATTCGCAGCGGAGAAAAAAAAATAAAAGAAGAGAAGAAGAAAATTAGTACATAGGATGAAAAAGAGAGTATGTATCACACTTTCCACACCATTTCATTCTATCATCCAGGAAAATGACTGGAATTATAGGAATGTCTCAGAAATGAATAAATGGATTATGCTTTGAATGAAATGAAAGAAAAAACTAAAAAGCATAATTTAAGAAGATAAGGAAGAAAAAGTGAAAACTTAATTTTACTCACGATATTATATGTTATATTAAATTGAAAATTTAGAAAAAAATTATTGATTTTTCCTTCAATTTTTTGAAAAAAAGTATACTATGTTGATAAGTTTACTGATAAGTTAATCACAAACAAAAGAATGGAAAAACGGTAGTAATTTAAAGATGAAATGAAATGAAATTTTTTTTTTGCTTTTTTCTCAAATAAACTATTGATAAATGGTAATAGTTCGATGATTGAAGGACAAAAGAAAAAAATTTCAAAGTAATTTCATTGATTCAAACTTTAGTGCTACATTAATTTGAAAATACTGAAAACTAAAATGTGAAAACGTGAATGCGAATGCATAATTTACAGCAAAGTTACGAACAATAAACAGAAAATTGTAATTATTGTTGTATTTTTGAATTAAATATCAAATTCTATTGTAATCGATCAAATTGACGAAATAAATTTCATTAAAACTGTCATATATTGTGTATACACGTGTTTATTTCTGACCTTCATGTGCCAGTTCAATTTTTCGTTTCATTTCTTTTATTTTTATGTTTGTTTATCTAATATTATTCATTTATAAAAATGATGCTTAATATTGAAATGTATTAATGAATTAATGATAAACATTTATTTATTTGTCGTTTAATAACAGTTATCCACTTTTTTTATATAAGTAGATGTTATATGTGGAATAGTAAAATGTTACTTACATAAAAGAATAGTAAATAACAATAATTAA